GTCTCAGTAGTCTGTTGGATTGGAGGAATATCTTCAGTTTGCATGGCATTTTATTTTTTGGCTTTTTGCGTTGTTAAAGGAGAAGACGAACATCCTCGTTGTTTTTGTTTTTGCTTGCTGTTTTTTTTGGTTATTTTTAGGATAAACAGGAGAGAGTTTTTTTTTTATTATCAAGAAATATTTTCTTTTTTTTTTTTTTTTTTTTAAGTGCGGTAGTTTCACAAAATCTTTATTGATAATATAAAATATAAAAAATTACATAAAACAGAAGTTATGAAAATCTTTATCTAAAATAATAAAAAATATAATCCTAAAATCAAAACCGACCCTGCACTTTCCCAAAATCAAATATAAAAAAAAATTTTACATCATACCTTCCAGTAAACCAACTAGAGAAAGAAAAGGGCTTAGTCCCTACTACACTAAAAATTTGACCAATGCGATCCTAAGCGGACTATCTTAGAAATTAAATCAGTTGAAAAAAGGTTAGCATATGATGAGTGAAACCGGTAACCAGTCGCTTTTGTATGAGCACGTTTAAGTACATCTGTTAAATCATGTGATTTTTCAAAGTCTTTGAAAACAGAGCATCTATCCATCCAAATGGATTGAGTTTGGGTAAAGATAAAATGCATAAAGTTTGAGATTGCCACCAATGTGGAATCCTTTGAGTTGAGATTAAAGATAATACAGCAATTGATTTCAAATTTATAAAATGTTGCAACATAAGCTAAAATTAGTTGCAACATTAAAAGCTGCAACATATTAATTACAGTTCCCATCTTTAGTTGAGATACGAGTATGCGAAATTATATAATTCAGAAGGAATAATTCCTTTGATCAGGTCCACGAAAGTGAAAGTAGTTGCTGACGATAAAGACCAAATATCTAATATTTCTACAGATACCGTGGTATTGAGTTGAAGAACGTCAGATAAGTGAAGTTTCGCCTTCTTAATGAGTTGAAGTATCTCTGATTTTCTTGATGAACAAGTTCAAATGTGGTTAAAATCTTCATATTCTGAGTTGCAACAAACACAGAGCCAAGTGTTATCATAAAGTGACGGGTGTCATTTGTTAAGGACTGTCATTATAGGAAGCATCTCAAGAATGTGCTGAAGTTTTTTCTTTTTAAGCGAAGACATCTCAAATGTAGTACATGAGGGAGCAGCATTATCTGAAATATAAAATGCTGTAGCGACCCAATTAACATTTAGGTCAATATATTTGTGATTGACATTGAGATTTAGAAAAGAAACTAGATATGTCGAACGAGTAATGTCTCTGATGAGTGGTCTTATAGGAGTCACGATTGCCAATTGGTAAAAATGCAGAGAAGGATGAAATTGATTTGAAAGTGTAAGGTGTAAAGCATTCGAGTTAAGTGCAGCTTTTGCCAAGGCGTCTACTTTTTCATTAAGGGCGATTCCAGAGTAGGCTTTCACTTTGTGCATCATTATTTTGAGAGAGAAAGATTTGATAACTTTGAATAGGCAACGTCAAATATGTAAGTTACTGATTTTGAGAAACGGTCTATGTGAAGGAGAGATGGCTAACAGAAGCTTATATTTGTTGAATTGTGAGATAACTGTGGCAGAATTTGTAAATATTTTGACATGACATTCTTTGGTAGCAACTAGAATAGCTGTAAAGATGGTTACCAGTTTGGCTAATGAAGAGGATGGAAAGGAAGATGTGAGCGCAGTCGCAAAAGGAAGCAGAGGAGAAACAGGTTCAGTTCCAGTCCCATTCTCAGAGAAGGATTACCTAAATTGACTAAAGATCTATCAGTAAAAAATTCTAAGTGATGTATTAAAGAAAATTGATTGCGAAGAGCTACTAATTGTGATGCAAAAGGTTGAGGTATGAATGTTTCTAAAAGTGATAGGGGAGTGCGTGGTGTAAGAAGAACATTAACAATATTAGGTTGAGGTCTGTTAAAAATAACAAATTTAGAAAATGCAAGGTCATTAAGCAAAGCTAAAGACCAAGCACAATATGGTACATTTTCTGACTTGTTTTGGTAAAAGGGGATTTGAAAACACAAATCTGAAGGAACTGAAAAGAAGCAGAATGTTTTTTTTCCGTTGCTTGCTGAATCCTTTAGAGATGAAAGCCAAAGAGTCATAATAATAGCATCTAGAGCATTAGTGGAGAAGAGTTTTGTGATTGATTCCAGCCATCGGTATGAAGTGCATCACGTGGATTTGATTAGCGTCGACTTTTAGAAGTTGTCCTATAAATGGTTTGTTGTCACCCATATGCCATCCCAATACAAAAACATTTTTGTTTTTATTTTTAACAGGTGGCGGAAAGTCATAATTCAATGATACAATATGTTGAAAATGAGCAATAGTATCACGAGAGGAGTAATCTTTAAGAAGCGCAGTTTGCAGAGTGTTATACCATTTAGGAGATTTATATGAATGTGGAATATCAGATTTGATACAATGATCAAAAAATGTAAACATTAGATTGTCATCAGAGTTCACTAATTGTTCTATGAACAGTAATGAGTATCATCTTAGATCATTTGCTAAACTTCGATATTTGGTTGGAATAAATGATGAAATCAGTGTATTCCCTCCAAGTATAAGATTAGGTTGTAAGTCTTCCGGATTAAAGTTGAGATCCAATAGTTTCCAGTCACAAAGTAGACACGAGAACCAATCTTTGAATTTGGAAGTAGTATCGTAAGGCCATTAGATGAGGGGTGATTTATGAAGCCACTCCTTATGTTGCAATTGTTGAATCTGAATTTTGATCGTATCGCCCATAAGGCCAGTGTCATTCATCATGTAGAGGAGAGCTTCGCTATGTGCCATCAACAAACGTTAATAGAGGTCAGTCAAATTATAAAATAAATATAAATAAAAACTGAAGAGGGTGTATCACGTAATAGTTTGAGTTTTTTCTTCATAAAGTTAAGAAAAGGCAAAGAAATCTGTTTGCACTGCACTGCTGTTTGGTGAAGTAAGTTAATTGTGAATGATATTTAATTCGTGGAATGAGAACTGAATTGTAAATATAAATAAATTGCTTATCTGTAAGTCTTTTAGGAAACATAATGGATATCGTTGTCTTAATTTCATTAACAAGCGATTTGTTGATAAAAGTTTTATTCGATCTTAAAGAAATCCAAACCCCTAGATATCTGATAGATTCATTGGTGGAAAGTGGATGAATTGTTGTCACTCCATTAACGGACGGCAGAGTGATAGGTTGACACAGACTATATTTATTTGTTAAGAGTACCGATTTGTCCCAATTGACTTTAATGAAATTTAACTCATAAAAACTATCAGCGATTTTCATTATTTCGATAAGGTCTTCTCTAGATTTTGCAATCCACAAAGTGTCATCCATATAGGCGAGTGTAAAAATTTTAACCAAAGTTAACAACAGAGCGTTAGTAGAAACGTCAGGCTTCCACTGATGAGTCATATTATACCCTAAAGGAGATTCATGTATTCTACATAACAATGGATCATAATAGATACACCAAAGGAGCGGGGAAATTATTTCTCCTTGATCAATACCAGAAACCACTCTATATGGGTCCGTATTGCCAAAGAAAGTAAAGACTTGGTTAAAACGGTTTCCAAACATTTTAAGAATGAATCTAATGAAGTTAAAGGAGATGTGGAGTCGCTCTAATGCTCTCACTAACATGAATAAGTTTACTCAATCATAAGCTTTTGACATATCATGTGACAGCACTCTGATGTTTTTTTTGTTTGTGATAGAGTCAAATTTAACATTATCCACTATACGAAGTGGCTCAAAAGTTGATTTAAAAGGAAGCTCAGCGAAGTTGAGCACTTTGAGTATATTATGTTGAATAAGAATTGTTGAAAGACGCCGGTTAAGTAATTTTATGAGAGCTTTCCGAGGATACTCTAAAAGTGTGATAGGTCTAGTATTGTTAAGGTCTTACTCCCATGGTTTCAGTTTTGGTATTGGATAAACGAATGCCATATTCTACTGATGTGGAAGAGTCAACTCTGATAGATAATAATGGATGATATACCAGAGCAACTTATTTGCATGTGGGTCGAGGTGTTTTAACATTTCATTAGATACTTTGGACGGACTAGTAGCTTTACTATTTGGCAGTAAAGCGAGGATGTCATACCACTCCTCAGCAGTAGGCAGGGCCATGAGTCCATTATAAATAGAGCTGTTGACATTATTTATTGGTGTATAAGAAGACTTCCAATCGTCTGGGATATCCATATTCTCATGAGAAGTACCAGCAGCTAATTGGAAATGTTGATTAACTCTATTTTAACATGCGTCTCATCAGTCAGAAGATCATGTGACCCAGATGCATCATATTGACATCTATCTAACACAATAGTTTTTCTTGAATGATTCAGCACTGAATTAATCATTTGAGATGAAGCAGTCGCATAATTATCTAACCTGCATTCAATCGCTTGTTGTATTGATTCCAATTTAAACTCATGCTCGTGTAGTTGGGTCTTGATTAAGAAACAATTCAGGAGTGTTTTCATAAATGAAAATAATGATGTAAGAAATAACGTGTTTGGTAAAAGAGGTAATACTATTAAATGGTATTCAAAAACATTAGAGATCTCTTGGAATTTGTTGTATAATACGAACCAGTTATAAGGTAAAATATCAGACTTGCAAGCCATCTTGATTTTCTTATTAAACTTATATAAAAATCTAAGATTTTTATAAAGTTTAGTTAATAAAAGAGGTTTCTTTAATTTATGTTGTCCAGATAATTTATGTGATGGAATAACATTATCAGCAGCTTTGATTATACAAGCTTGCAACAAGTTCCATTAAAAATTGAGTTTGGTCTAGTTGAGTTTTGAGTTGGAATTTAATAGGCGCAGTTCACTACTGTTGGTAAGTACGTTCATTTTATTTTTGTATTTCATTTAGAGATCATCGATCATCTTATCATAATCATATATCGTCTTTTTCAGAATATTACGTTTGTTGTTCTTGACTTCCAGGTAGTTATTTATGGAACAAGTTACAATTGCATGATCAGAAATTTGTGGTAACACAAATACAGTGTTACAAGTGTTAAAATTATAGGCACATTCTGCTGAAGTCCAAACAAAATCGATGGGAGAAGTTGAAATCATCGAATTGAAAGTTGGATATTTGACTCGATCATTACTGTGTTTCAATGTATATGCGTCAAACAAATGCAGATTTTAAAGCAACGAAAAAAATTCTTTTACGCCCTTTGGGTTTTTATCTCGGTCCATATCAGCATTGAAATCCCCAGTTAGAATAATGTGCAATTCCTTAGACATAACCTCATTGAGCAATTTTACTAATTCTTTTTGGACTAATTTTCTAGTTGAAATGTCGGATGGGGACAAGTAACAGTTAATAAATCTTAATTTTTGTTTGTTGGTAAATTGGAGGTCGACATTAATTATTCTGTTGAGTAATTGTTTGTGGTAAAAGACGTGATTGGCTAGCAATGGGCAAAGTAAAATACCTATACCAAAGCCAGTTTGATTATGAGATGATTCAGAACTGAAGAAGCCTACGAAGTTAGAAGAGTGTTACAAATTAAATGGTCGAATATGTCGTTAGAGGAAGTTCGTTTCTTGTAAACCAATGGCATCTACATTTAAGGACAGATATTGTTCAAACAGAAAATGCTGTTTAGTGGTATTAGTAAAACTGCGGACATTATATAAAGCAAAAGCTAAAAAAGGAGAAGGAGTATGATTAAAGAAGTGGTATTAAGCATAGATGCATCTTGTGCATTAATATTAGTAGAGACAGTGTTCATAATAAAATTAATATTTTTGGACATCATTAAGGTAGCTCTTGACTTTATCATCAAAGGCTACATTAAGTGGGAAGATGTTGTTAGCTTGTTCTTGCGGAAGCAAATTATTTTTGATTAAGATGCTTTGGAAAGTAATGCAGGAGTGAGTAAGCGTATTAATAGTGGCTGTGAATGATTTAAGTCTGGATTATTGCATTTCATTCAGGCTGCGTAATCCATCGATGATTTTTTGTTGTTTAGCTATAGTGGAAACTGAAACATCGATATGTGGTTCAATATCATCAATCATTTCATCAGAATTCATATTGTATACCTCAGCTTCGACTGGAGTAACGACTTTAACGTTGAGTTGTCATTCAATAGATTCAACACATTTGATGGTGAAAGCCAAGTTAGTCATGATGATGGTTAGATTTTTAGAAAGGCTATTGAATTGGGACTTTATGAAATCCTTGAAATACTCTTCGTTGTTGGCGTGCATAGATCTGCCTGCTTTGGTCCCTTTATAAACAGTGCCATTAGGCATGAAGCAGATAGTGTTATCAAAAATTATTTCTTTGTTCATGTTTGGTGGGACGTCATTTGACCATGAAATAGCTTGTGGATCACATTTATTTTCAGAATGTGAAGGTGGTTTGTTTCGATTATTATTGTTGTTATTAGGATCGTTGTTACTATTATTATTTCTAGGTGTGGTGGATTGTTGATTGTTGTTCGTGGTTGATGATGGTTTAGTAACATGGGCAAAGGTAATGTTCAGGTTAACTGCGTCTCTCATTTTTTTTGGTGGAGCCTTGTAGTTAGAGTACTGCGCCGGTTGGAATCTTTGATAAAGATTTTGCATATTCCAATCAGCTGGAGTTTTCCTACGTCGTGGACATCCATTGGCTTTATGATTTGAGGAAGAGCAAATCGCATAAACTTTGGCCTTTGATTCAGTCCAAGTCACGTATTTGCCATCTATGATAAGATTATCGTTTGAAATTACAGCCTTAAAATCGTCTGCAGTAGCAAAATAGAAAAATGCGTATTGTAAATTTTGGTAGTTCGACCGGGCTTTAGAAATAACCCAGGCAATAGTGTATACCATATTTCCAATTTCCTCAAGATGTCTACCTGTCGTGAACCTAGGATGGCCAGCAAGTTTTGCTAAAAATTTTGAACGTGCCAAAATATCTGCGCGAGATTGGTCACACATATGGACTCTGACCATGTCATTAAATACGAATAGACTATAACAATCCTTTAGTCCCTTGAAATTTGCATCTTCCGCGAAGGTAATAGTGACCTGTTGCCACAGCGAAAGGAAATCTTAATTATACGTTTCGATTGATCATTCAGATGTTTAGCCAAGGTTGCTTCTGAGAACGAATCGTATTTGTCAAAAAGCAGATCGATAACAAATGAGACTTTTTGCTGCGGCAATATTCCTGGAAATTCTTCAAGGGAAAAATAACCATGGAAAGAAGGCTTTTGACGCTCAAAAGCTTGTACTGAATATGTATTTTTGTCCAAGAAGTTCTCTGATGAGTCAAAACTAGCGTTAGTGTCAAGAGTGGTAGTAGATTTTCTGGGGTTTCTTCTAAAGTTTCTTTCTCCTTGCCTTTTTCTAAGGCGAAGAGTCGAGTTCTATAGACACTACTGGTTCTGGGGGCTCCGTAGTTTGTTGGGTTGGAGGAATATCCTCAGTTTGCATGGTATTTTGTTTTTGGCTTTTTGCGTTGTTAAAGGAGAAGACGAACGTCCTTGTTGTTTTAGTTTTTGCTTGCTGTTTTTTTTGGTCATTTTTGGGATAAACAGGAGAGAGTTTTTTTCTTTTTTTTTTTTTATCAAGAAAATTTTCTGCTGGTCAAGCCTATGTTGCATTAAGCCGATGCTCAGATTGGTCAAAAGTGCACATCGCCTCATTACATCCTTCAGCATTTATTACAGATAAATCAATGCTTAAAGAATATGAAAGATTAGAACAAAAATCAAATACTTCTTTACCTTTATAAATATAGTATATATTTAAATAAATAAAAATTTTAATCTAATAAAATGTTTATTAAAAAACTCTCCTATTTTAAAATTTATTAAATAACTTTGCAAATACAACAAAGTATTTATGTAGATATAAATACGAATATTTACTGATTATAAATATAAATTTATTTATACGAATATAAGATATTTAATCTGACGCTTAATGGGGGACGAAGTCCCCTGCATATCGCAACTTTTAGTTTAACATGAAAATTCCGATCAAATTATGTGATCACTTAAATTATAGCAGCCTTCGAAACAAAAATGAAAATTAGACTATTTAAATAATAATGTAATGTATTATGTAAAAAAAAAAATGTTTCGTCAAAAATTCTTTTTTTTTTAAAATGATTAATTAAATAGACAATTTTCAATAATGCTCTCGAGATATTAAAAATATGTATTTTTCACATTTAAATTATATGTACAGTATTTACTTTGTAAGGCCCAACATAATTATGTTTTATTATCATAAATGAAGATTCAATATTGAAGCTCATATTTATCGAATATCTCATTATTACAAGATCTGATAATGTCATTAATATCATCATGAATAAAATTACTTGAGCAATAAAAAGTATAGTATTTTCATAAATTCCACCGATATTTCCATCACCACATTTATGTTTTTCCTCCAATATACCGTACGTTATTATCCAATTTCACCCAAGTCATTATATTAGTAAGATGTTATTAATAAAAAAAGGAGATAATAAATAAAATGATAAATTAAACCGGAATTCCTGTAAATGATCCAAAACCAATAGCAAATAATAAAAACCATCTCACGTTTCAGTCTATAAAATAACAGCATTTCCATCATTCTATGGAGTGGGGTTTCTAATAAATTAGTAAATAGATTGGTGCAAATAAAAATTAATAGTAAATTAACCCCGAGTTACCCATTTCATATTTCAATCTCACGTAATTATCAAATAAATCTACGCTACGTAATCATCAAATTCATTTTAACTCTCCATGAAGTTTTCAATACCATTTCATTCCGATTGTTTATTTGTAAAGGCTTGTTTATAAAAGATAATAATAAAAGTGAAACAAACCGTGTTTCCTGTAATTAATTCTTAATGCCACTCAAAATTTTTCTAATCATCCAGAAATATTATACAAAAACTAATTAGGAAAGTTAATCCAGTCCATCGCCCTTAATATTCTCTACAGCAAAATCCTGTCTTATGAATTCAATATCACCCTCATTAATATACAGTACATCATTTATTGTTGAATTTCCATTATCACATCATCTGGTCCAGTCATCAGATTAGACGCGTTATTAAAGTATAAATAAAAAATTAAAAACATAAAGCCAGTCCACCGAAATATTTATTAATTCTCCATAATCTCATGATATTATTATTGAAGTAAATTCAATCTACAGACAACTTACTATAAATCCAATAACTAACAATACATCAATTGAATTTAACGTTATCCAGTCCAGTCAGCAAAGTATAAAAAACTTTAAAAAAATAAACAAATCCAAGCCACCGAAATCTCATCAATCACCCATATTTTAATCATCATTATAATCCATCAATCATTCCATTCAAATCCAAATTTACTATGAAATCCAATCCAATTATATTCAATTATTTATAGTGTTATCCAGTCCAATTAATTAATTAGACGCGTTAGTGAAGTATAAAAAAAAATTTAAAACAAAAAAAAATAAAATAAGACATAGCAAACCCAGTCCATTGAAATTTGAAATTTCATTAACCATAGATATCTCTCCATCATATCATAATCCATTATTATGACATAATAGCAAATTGATGATTCTAGACTATAAATACTCAATATATTCCAATTACCATCATTACACTTATCCAGCCCAATCATTGCAATTAGACGCATTAGTTATAATTGTACATTACACATTCTAATTATCTTTCCGACATTTCAAATCCAATTGACAGAAATTTTGCTCGTTTATATAATTACTCAAAACCGTTGATGATTCAAATAAGCATTATCCAGTCCAGACAATGCATGTAGATGTGTTAGTAAAGATTGTAAAAAAAAAATAAAACAAAATAAAAATAAGAAACGGCAAACCCAGTTATAATACATTCACATTTATCAATGCTTTTATTATTATTCACGGTCCAAAGGGTTGTCTATTACAGTCAAGAAATTTAACACGTATGAGTTAAACAAAGAAAGTAAAGCAAACGAACACAGTATAAATTTAATATAAACGGCACGTCTGTTGTGATCGAAGGAAGGAAAGAGAGTGAGGAAAAAAAAAAGCGTTTACATAAGAATTTGATTGGATGATTTATTTATTTAGGTTTCGTGTTTGCTAATCATTCCTGGTTAAGTAATCGATTGACCAATTTATATGGTTTTTCTTCAGAAAAATATAATTGCGTTTAATAATTCGAATTAATGTAACAATTAAATGATAGTGAAAGACGAGCGTTTAAAGAGTATTTTTAACCGAAAATATAAAAAAAGATTCTTATTCAAATATTATTCCAAAAGATATTCCTTATATTTTTTTTTTTTAAAAAAAAAACAAAGCAGCGTTAAAATTTAAAACTTTATCTTAGAAATAAATGTGTTTGGTTCAGAAAGCAGCAATCGAATATTTTCATCATTTTCTGGAATTTTGTGCTTTAAGGTTCTCCATTCGTATTGGACCATTTCTAAGTTTAGGTAAATATTTTCTAATTTCGGGTTGGTTCTTTCAACTTCGATACCAATGCAATTAAAAAATATATAGATCTATGTCGGCAAATTTAACGGTTTTAGTAAAATCAAGTCATGAGATATAGCAAAACATATGTACACGTGAATCATTTGTAAAAAACGAGCAGAATAATGATTACTGATTATGAAAACTGTTAGAAATGTGATGAGAATCCTAACATTTCATTTTATTTGAAATTCTTTATAAGTGAAATATATTTCGCAATACTGTTAATTAATTTTTAATAAATTTCATTTTCACCAAGAAATTTTCTATTATATACAGAGGGATAATTTTTTTATTAATGTTATATATTAGGTAAACCTCTAAGAACCATTAAATTTTACATAGAATTAGTTCCTACGTAATAGCTTTAAGTAATTTATGTTTCCAATAGATTAGTAAAAAAGAAAAAGAAAAATAATTGATAAGAATACCAAATCGTTAGAACAACTAAGTTCAAAAAAAAATACTCAAAAAAACTCAAAACTAAAATTTTTAAATCTAAATTTTGATTTAGCTTTGTTTAATGAGCTATTAACCAATTATGCATCTGAATCTGACGAATGAGATCAATTTTTCGATTAGAGCAAATTTTTCTCCCGCTTTAGAACATACATGTAAATGTTGACATCATCACCAGAAAAATAAGAATGAAGCATTTTATAGTAAATAATCTTAATCGTATGAGCGAAACTTGTAAAGTTTTAATCTTCAAATATTCTTGCGAAACCACTCTTTTTCAAAACCAATAAATCTTGATTTCCAATTTTGGAGAATTGCTAATAAATTTTTTTATTACAAAAGTATTAATTGAAAATTTTTCATAATAAACAGAATAAAAATTTTATTTTAAAAAAAGTTGTCAAATTCATTGTAACAACTTATACAAATCAAATAGCAATTTTATTGAATATTCTTATTAAACATCCAATATATCAAAATGTTCGCATTTGATACGCTATCCAATTTTTTAAAAAATAATACCCAAATGGCCATTCACCCAAATAATATCTTTGTATTGTCGGGGAATGATCAATTTGCCGATTTATCATTTAAAAAATAGGGGCGATTGTTGATTGTTGTCATAAGATACATTGCATTCTGAGTTAGCTTCTAGAAAATAAATGAATCTGTATAAAAATGAATCCAATATTTTATTATAATAAACTTGATACAAACTGTTATAAACTGATAAAATCATTATTGTTTTTCCACCTTTTTATATTTACATGCCTAACATTTAATAATAAATTATTAAAAAAAATTATATATATAATCCGATGTCTTAGCCAATATGAGATATCATTATTAAAAAATAAACTACGTCCTGAATGTCTGAGACATCATTTATTAAAAAAAAATCAGAGGTATTATTTATTGAAAATCAAAAAGAGTATGCATCATTAATTGAATTCAATAAAACAACTCGAATGTTGATGAAATTAAGCGTAATACAACAACTAGAAAAGAAAGCCAAAAAATATTTGTCGGAATCAAAAATTCGATTCCAAAATAAACCTGAACTTCAAATATATTGATTATTTCATCAAAATATCCGATCATAATCAAATTGAATTTACGAATGTGAATGACATTATGCAATTCATTTATGGGCGTTGGAACAATGCTTTATCAACATTCCTAAACCAAAGAAAACCGCATTTATGAGAATCATTATAAAACTTGATATTAAAGTTAACAGAGCAACGTTGCTGTTATATTCTGTTGTTATTGCGGTGACATATAATATCTATAGAAAACGAATCATATGAATCAATTTCATTAAATGATAAATTAAAAAATAATAATTTGTTAAAGGTTTACCTGAATAACAAATTGTGGAATGTCCTCAATCATTAAGTTTATAAATCGACCCCAATTTATCAAATTTTCTTCCTGAAATAGAGCTTTAAATAATTCTAAATTAGCAAACCTTGAATCCAGTAAACGAAGTAATCCAATATCTCCTATACAAAATACCGTAATTGTTGTAACTAAGTATGAATTATTATTTTTAAACCAATTATTGAATTCTTCTTTCTCATTATTCCTAATCTCTTTTAACAATATAATAATTGCCATGACAAAATTCACCAGAAATGGAATAAATGTGAAAATAATACTGAAATAAAAAATAAAATTAATATGAATTTAATTAAATTTGAATAAATCATTAAAACTACCTTGGATATAATAAATCATGCAAATTATCTTTAAGTTCATAAAGAAAGTTAACGTCATTGAACATATCAAAAAAGGTAAAAGCAACTTTAAATAGAATCAAATAATCAGCTTTTTTATCAGCAGCAGCTTCAGCAGCTTCAGTAGCTTTAGAGTTTTGATGATTTTTACCAACTTTAAATGGCATAGCTTTAGCAAATAAATTTTTAAATTTAACAAATTTAGGTTTATCAGTTTCTTTAGCGCTTTCAGCGGCAGCTTTATCAGCCCTCTATATAAAAAAATGATATACATTATTAATGGAAGAAAATTTTATCAAATAATTGTAAATATAACGGACATACTTTATTTATTATATAGCCAAATAGAGTTAGAACAATTAATGATACTAAGCTGCATATAAACAATGCTAAAAATAATTTATCACTTGTTAAGTTTAGTAAATTAATTTTAATTTTTTCCTGTAGATTAGCTAAAAAATAAAATTATAAATAATTATAATTAAATTAATAAGGGAAAAATTCATTAATTATACTTTACATGATTTACGAGGCGTGAAAGTTTTATCAATAAATTTTGTGTAATTATTAAGATCCAAGTATGTTTGAATGTCACTATTGATTTTGGATAATTTGACAAAATCATCAAAAACATCTTGGGCAGTTTTATTGTTAAAACCATATTTGGGTGGATCAATCCTGAAAATCATATATAGATGTTCTTTTTTTTCATCTTTATCAAATTCAAAATAATTACGCGAATGATTTAATCTTAAAAGGTCAACTGGAATGCTTTCCGAAATCTGTTTTATCATTCTTTGGTTAAAGTCTTTTTTACTATCTGTTAAATTTTTATAATATTTTGTTCCTTCAATGGTTATTCGTATAGTTCCATATATTATTTCTTAAAAAGTAAATGCAAAATGACTATTGATATCAAAAAAAAAAAAAAAAAAAAAAATGAAATAAAAAATGATTTACTTACCAGAATCATCGTTAGTTTTATTATATTCTGGAATTTATAAATAAATAAATAAATAAATAATGTTTTTACGAGTGAATTGTTTAAAATTATACAAGCCTGCATACTTCCTGTTGTTTTGATTACCCAAGTGCCTAGCTTTATACCAGAAATCATTTCATCCGTACCCTTATACTTAAGAAAGGCATCATCAATTTCGACAAAGTAGGTGGCATTTGGTACGTTAAAAGTTATATTAAGTAAATTAATAGTAAGCGAATTTTCATCGTCACCAATCACGCAATTTTGTCTGAAGCACAAAAATCTTTGTCGTAAAATGTTCCTTTCATTAAGTTTTTGGTAGATCGATATATTAACAGGAATGGTTGATTCAACAGCACGGGAAAAGGTCATGTTTATTGAATTTGTGCCAATAGGAGTCATTGACGGATATACATTTGTAATTTGATCATTATCAAATGGTTTGTCCACTACTAAGTAACATAATAAAATAGAATGATATGATGTCAACAGATTTGAATATTATAACAAGCAAGAGTACACTTACGTGGAAAAGCTGTTAGGAATTGAATAGATAAGATTAGGAATGTGTTTACTATAAAATTGGTTATTTCCATGATGAGTAAATTTAGTAAATAACAATTTCATCATGGGTATTTATATCACCAAACTATCATTTATTTGAAGGCTATATATGGAAAACGTGAAAGAACTTTATAAATATGCAATACACGTCTGTGCAGTTAAGGCGTCATTATGATATAAAACGGTCACGACACATAACCAAATTAGTATAGAAATTACCAAATTTTTATTTATTGTAAAGAGATATTACACAAAAATATGTATATTTTTAGTTAAGTATGGTATGTAAACTATCTGGTTATTTATAAGAAATATTCCTCTAATAAACCCATAAAACTATACTATACAAGTTTCATTGTAAAGTAGTTGTGCATAACGATATTTTTAAAGTCGTACAAAATTCATGTGAATTCGTTAATTGTTGATCTACAATCTATTAAGTCAATTGTTTTAACTTTTTGAAATTCTATCACAATGCATATCTATTGATTATCATTCATTACTAATCACAAAACTACAGTCGCCATTAGATATAACGGACCTTTCCATAACCGTAAAAAAATGCATTATTAATTAAAATTTAAAAATTTATGCAACCACATTATTCTGAAAATAATAAATTACGCCACCAAATACCAACTTACCAATGCAGGTGTAAAGTATAGCTATTCATCTTCAAAAGTATATATTTAAAAGAGCCTATTTTTACGTTGTGTAACAATTTTGGTTGCGACGATCATTTTTATTTCGTTTATTTTAACTTATACTATTTTTTCATATCAGACACTTCATTAATATGCTATAAAAAATTGAAAGAAAATTACTTAGAATACAGGATCCATTAAATTTTTTAAAAAAGAAATCACCTATTATTCAATCGAAATAACAAAAAAAAAAATAAAAATGAAATGAAAATAAAAGCCATATACAATCGACGCAGAAAACCTAGTAATTGAGGCGCAAAGAAATTAAAAACTTATCGAAAAAACCTAAGGTAGATGTGACTAACTGCGTACTATTTCTTCAATAAAGATTATTTTTTAATTTGCCAATATAAATTTCATTTCCTGTTTGTAAGGTAATCATTAAACACGATACAGCACAAGCTAACTGGGAATTCAAGTCGTACTTTATCAACCCAATCAAGTTTATCCTTCCAATAAAACAAGCGAATGTTTAATTATATCTGATATTATTTGACAAATCAAAATGCAATTGTTTCCGAAATCATTTTATACTAACCAATAAACTACTTTTTTTCGTGATCAATTAGCTTTTTTTGCTTAAGGTATATATATGATTATGTCTAACTCATTCATGGCACTTTCTAAATTTCTAATTGTCCTTAACGTTAGCAGACTTTCAGTTAGTCTGCCGGCACGTGACATGTTCTGAGTATCACAAATAATTAAATATGTCGATCATGTCAAATATGTCAGGTGAACTGTACTGTAACCAATAATTTTCATTGCATACTTTTTGATTTTGTATAATTATTGTTCAATGATATACAGTATGATTGGTTGTAATCACTTTCGTACGTTTATCTATTTACCTCTATATTAACGCACACGTAGATCAATTTGTATTGTATTGTTCAGTATTTCTGTAGATCCGTTAGCTAATTCTACCGCCATATTTGAATTGAATTCTTCAATATATTATATAATAAAAACGAGATTTTTTTTTCATTGAAATTAATTTGTCAATTTGAACAATTGTGAATTTAATTGAAAAATTTAGCATTTAAAAAAATCCAGTCCAGTAATCGAAATTGTAAAAATTTTCTATACCATCGTGATTATGTATTCACAATGGAGCAAAGATTTAATCTTTTTTTTTTTTAAAAAAAAAAATAATTTAAAATAATTATATGAGCATTTCGAGTGGCTTATAGAAAAGAATATTTTCATTAATGATATTTTTTTATTTTAGAAAAAATTAATTTTTATGTAATTAATATTTTAGTATAAAAATTTATTTATTAAGATTTCAATAAAGGCACGGCATGAATTGGAAAGAATTTCATAGTTTGAAAATAGGATCAAATAATTTTTACAAAATGAATGACTTCTTGGAGAGTTTAGGCAACATTTACTCGAAGTTTGACATTAAAATATTTCAATTTTAATTTGTTACTTTTTTTAAAAAAAATATCCGTAGCACATTTAATTATTGTGTTGGTCCAATACCTCAATGGAATAGATAAATCGGTGAATATAAATAAAATTTATTTATTTTATTTTATTATTTTATTTTACCATTTTTGGTTTTTACTTTATTATTTTATTTTTATTTTATTTTATTTTACCATTTTGGGTAATTTGTCTATTTTATTTTATTTTACCATTTTGGATAATTTGTTTATTCTATTTTATTTTACCATTTTGGAAAATCCGGAATGGCATTTCGGATATTAACGAAATTAGGGGACAAACCTTCCCAAATATTTCAATTATAAAAGGTGTTGAAAAAAAAAATTTCCTTTTCCAAATTTTATTTTAAAAAATTGACCAAAAATCATTTTATCACAATATAGTAACCCCTCAACAGAATGATATATACGAAATTCAAAAAATCAATCCAACTGATGATCTTTATGTGTCTCGTGTGGCAGGTCACGACTAATCTATTCCGGATAGACGTTGGAAAAAGTGGAATAGGTGTAAAATCGAGATTTGATTCTTCAACTCTCGTGAATTCACTTGAAATGGACGCCAAAATAAATCAAAAATACTGCGGGTCCAATCAATGAAATTTCTATTTGCTTATCATGTACCGGAACAAGAAACTTCGGCAAATGCACACTTTTTACATTTATACAATTGGCGGAAATTCTAAACCGCACGATCGTATAAGTTAATGTACAACATTCAAGGTTGGAATCCTGTAGAAAATACTAGTGGTTTTCTCACAATACGATACGATTTTACCTTTTTTAGAACATACTATATGAATTAATAATATAGAAAAAAACCACGCCAAAAGACTCCGAATGCCGATTGGCTCAAATTACAATTTGAAGATATAAAAAAAAGTTATTAATATATTCGTTAATGCATGCATGAAATGTTATACATTTGTACATACGTTCTATTGACGATAATATATGAATGTCCCACCATGCCTATATAGGTATTGATTGAGTTTGTAAGGTTGGAAAGCTTTTGCGAATGTATTTCTTTACTTCAGCCCACAGTTTCTCAATTGAAAATTTAAGCGATTCACAGAAGTTAATCCTGCAAGAGCTTCTTTGCAAACTTTGTTTCAATTTGAATGATCATTTTTCTCCTGGTATACATCATCACCAATTGGAAATGCATGTCTCATAACATGGTAAAGTGTGTAGCATGAGTAGCTATTCCTTAAAATGGAACAATGTCTCGAAAAGCATTTAATTAGGATTATGTTTTACTTTGATGGAACTTCACACTCACTTTGTGGGAATTAAGAAAAGATCGATCCATCACACATGAACTTTTGACCAATCGTCCTCTTGTTCAGCTTTGTTATACAATTCGTTCAAATGATTTCTTAATTTTAATTACGCCTTTTCTATTTTTAAGTTCTCTTTTGAGGAAAAACCCTTATAATTTTCTTACCTTTTTTTTATAAAAAATTCTGGATCGCTAAATTACACCTAGTTTAATTGCTATTTTATAGCAAAAGCTCAATCAGATGAATTACCAAGTCCAATTCAAGCATATATATGATATATAAATAGATTACACTTTATTCAACAAATCCTTTATAGATAAAGATAAAAATTGTAATTTATAAATTATTGGGTTTTCGAAATTATTGAAATTGGCTATTATGCGTGATGATCGACAAAAACAACACAAAACGTGATTACCGATGAAGGCGTGATCCATGCTGCGCCGATCAACTACAACCAATCATGTGATTTGAAATATTTGGCCGATCTGACCGATATGACAAATTGGACAAATCTGACAAATATGACATATTGGTCATATTTGACCGATCTAC